CAGAGCGTCCCGGATGGAGCAGGAGAAAGGTGGGGTGCAGAACTCAAATTCTAGTAAGAAGACCAGACTTAATGGTCTGACTGAGACTGGAGGAACCCTGGAAAGCATGGTCCCTAGATTCTGTATCAGCCCAGCACTAAAACAGTTTCTGAGCCCAACTCTTCAGACAGGGATTGGACTTGGACTGTGGGACATAAAGTGATAACTCATGAGGAGTGTGCCTCTGGACTCAAGCAGATACAAAAGACTAAATGGGCAGCTTCTGTCTGGAGGTGAGATGGGAAGGTAGAGACAGGAGCTGGTTGAATGGACATGGGAATCGGGTGGAAGGGAGAAGTGTGCTGTCACAGTATGGGGAGAGCAATTAGAGTCACATAACAACGTATGTATGGGAAAAAATAAATACTATGAAAAAAAAAAAGACCCTAGAAGCCACTCACTGAAGTGGGATGCAGAACATTTTCTAAACAAGCTTTGTTACGCCAGTTGACCTAGATGTCCCCTGAAACCATGGTCCCCAGACCGCCGCCCCTGCTACTCTGTCCCTCGAAGTGTTTGGTTGTATTCAGGAAAAGAACCAGCTTTTGGTCTTGTTAACACTTTCAATTGTTTTTCTGTTTTCTGTTTCATTTAATTCTGCTCTGATGTTTATTATTTGTTTTCTTCTGGTGCCGAGGGCTGCTTTTGCTGTTCTCTTTCTATTTGTTAGAGTTGTAGGGTTAATCTTTTGATTTTGGCCCTTTCTTTTTGGATGTGTGCATTTATTGGTATAAACTGACCTCTGAGCACTGCTTTTGCTCCGTCCCAAAGGTTCTGGTAGGATGTGTTTTCATTTTCATTTGATTCTGTGAATTTTATTCCATCCTTAATTTCTTCTCTAACCCAGTAGTTTTTGAGCACGGTGTTGTTCAGTTTCCATGTGTTTGATTTTTTTCCCTTGGTTTTTCTATTATTGATTCTACTTTTATGGCTTTATGTTCAGAAAAGATGCTTTGTAATATTTTGATGCATTGGATTTTGTTAAGGCTTGCTTTATGGCCTAATATGTGGTCTATTCTGGAGAATGTTCCATGTGCATTGGAAAAGAAAGTATCCTTGGCTGCGGTTGGGTGGAGTGTTCTGTATACATCTACGAGGTCAAGTTGGTTGATTGTGGCATTTAGATCTTCCGTGTCTTTATTGAGCTTCTTTTGGATGTTCTGTTCTTCACCAAAAGTGGTATGTTGAAGTCTCCTCCTACTATTGTGGAGCTGTCTCTCTTTTCAATGCTGTTAGAGTTTGTTTTATGTATTTTGGAGCCCTGTCATTGGGTACGTAAATATTTATTATGGTTGTGTCCTCCTGGAGTATTGACCCTTTAATCATTGTATAGTGTCCTTCCTTATCCTTTGTAGTGGATTTTACTTTAAAGTCTGTTTTGCCAGAGATTAATATTGCCACTCCTGCTCTTTTTGAGTGTTGTTTGCTTCATATATTTTTTTCCATCTGAGTTTTTGTTTGTGTCTTCAAGGTGTGTCTCTTGTAGGCCGCATATAGACGGATTGTGTTTTCTTTTCATCTTTTTCAGTGTTGTTGATTTTGTGTTTGCTGAGTCTTTATGTTTTTCTTGTTTTTTATTTTGATGTGTAGGATTGTTAGTTTCCTTTGTGGTTACCTTAATATTTACCCCTATTTTTCTAAATTTAAAGCAGTCTTTTATTTCTTTATATCACCTTGACTTCCTCTCCATATGAAAGATCTATGACTACATGTTTTAGTCCCTCTTTTTTGTTTTAATGTTGTCATCTTTGACATATTGGCATTTCTGTTTCCCTGTTTTCAGCGTTTTAGCTTTGATTTATTTTTGTGATTTCCCTATCTGGGTTGATATCTGGTTGCCATGTCCTGTGTTCTAGTCTTGGGTTGTTATCTGATGTTACTGATTTTCTAACCAGAGGACTCCCTTTAGTATTTCTTGTAATTTTGGTTAGGTTTTTGCAAATTCCCTAAACTTCTGTTTATCTGGAAATGCCCTAATTTCACCATCATATTTGAGCGACAGTTTTGCTGCATGTATAATTCTTGGCTGGCAATTTTTTTCCTTTAAGGCTTTATATATGTCATCCCATTGCCTTCTTGCCTGCATGGTTTCTGTTCTGCTGAGTAGTATGAGCTTAGTCTTATTGACTCTCCTTTGTAGATGACTTTTCATTTATCCCTAGCCATTCTTAAAATTGTCTCCTTATCTTTGGTTTTGGCAAGTTTGATTATGTGTTGGTGACCTTCTCTTGGGATCTGTCTTGTGCGAGGTTCAATGAGCATCTTGGATAGATATCTTCTCATCTTTCACGATATTGGGGAAGTTTTCTGCCAACAAATCTTCAACAATTCTTTCTGCATTTTCTGTTATTCCCCCGTCCTGGTACTCTAAAAACTCATAGGTTATTCCTCTTGATAGAGTCCCATGTAATTCTTAGGGTTTCTTCATTTTTTATATTCTTTTATTGGATTTTTCCTCAAATAAGTTGGTGTCAAGTGCTTTATCTTCAGTCTTACTAATTCTGACTTCCATTGCCTCAGTTCTGCTCCTATGACTTTGTATTGTCTAATTCTGAAATTTTATTCTTAATGTTTTGGATTTGTTTGCTGTCTCTCTGTGAATTCTTGCAGCCTATTAAATTTGTTATTGTGCTCTTCTATAATCTTACATTTCTGTATTGCTTTGTCTTTATGGTCCTTGGATTGTTCTGCATTTTGCCTGATGTCCTTCCTGATCTCTTGAAGAGTTTTGTATATTAATCTTTTGTATTCTACCTCCGGTAATTCCAAGTTCTCTTCCTTTGGAAGATCTCTTGATTCTTTGTTTTGGGAGCTTGCTGAAGCCATCACTGTCTGCCTTTTTATGTGATTTGGTATTGACTGTTGTCTCTGAGTCATCAATAAGTTATATTTATTTTATGTTTGCTTACTGTGTCCTAGATTCTTGATTTGTTTTGATATGCCCAAACAGGCTGCTCGTATGAGCTAGTTAGATTTTCACTGCCTTTGAAGCTCTAACATCCTATCACCGGGTGGTTAGATCTTTTACTAGGTATGTGAGCCCAGGAGTCTGTTTACTTTTCTTGTATGGCTTCAGCTCAGGTGTCCAGGTAGTCGGTCACCAAGTGTATGGTGCAGGCTCTCACCTACAGTCCTAGACAGGCTGAGGTGACTGGAGTAGGCACAGGTATCTGGCTGCAGTAGGGGGGTCATGTGCTGAGCAAGGCAGGGGGCTGACGGCTGCCCCTGAGTGTCTTGGAGGTAAGTGTGTCTTTGTTCCCTAGAGTGTGTTGGTGGGTGGGTTTTGCAGCTGGACTGTGGGCACCCAGTGCTGTTGGCTGTAGGGATTGGGCGGCACCACTTATTCTTGGACCCCTGTCGCAGATGGCTAGGTGGCATGGGTGGAGCCACCAGTCCTCAGACCCCTGATATGTGTAGGTGAGGACCCTGCTTGATGGGCAGAGCAGTATCAAATGTCATGAGCCTGCCACTCCACCATGTAGCTGATACAGTGAAGTTAGGCTTCAGGTATATACCCTGTTGTTTGGTGCTAATGAGGGCCTATGCTGTTGAAATGGGCCCAAACAGGTCTACGCAGGGGTGAAAGGTATTCAAAGTCCATGGACCCTTTATGCCTGTGCCTAGGCAAAGGAGCTGTGCCTGCACTGAGTTCCTGGCTTAGGGGAGCTGGCAGATTTTTTCGTGTTTGTTAATTCGTTCCCTCTCCAAGGCTGGGAGAATGGATCAGGGCACGTGAAGGGTCCTACTTCCAGCCCAGGGGAAGCAGCAGTCACTGAACCCAGCAGAGAGGGGAGGGAGCAGGCAGGTAAACGGGAGAGAGTTTCTTCCCAAACGGTGTTTTTTGATCCACGACGTAGGTTAGATGCATGTACTTATCTTTTGCCAATTGAGTGCCACTTTCCACTGGTTCTGGAGGCTTGAATAGACTCTCTGCCGCCTGCTCTCTCCCGGATGTGGAAAACGCATCCCAAATGTGACTGCTTGCCTCACCACATGCCAGCTAATCCTGCCTGCAGGGGGCCGGTTCCTGCTGAGTCAGGTCTGGCAACTCCTCACTGCTTCTGAACCATCTCTCCCTTCCCCTGCCACGCAGTCCGATTGCTCAACTTTGCTTTGATGTTCAGGGTGCCTAGATTGCAATATAATTGATTCACTTGCTTTTTTTGGGTCTTTGTTATAAGAAGAACCACAGGAACTGTCTGACTACTTCACCATCTTGTCCCTGCCTCCCTGGTAATTTTGGTATTTTGTATATGCCATGTCTTTTTGTTCTTGTATTTCTCCATGATTACCTTCTTTTGTTTGAAATAGTTATTTTTTTAGTGTTTGCTCTGTGGATTGCAGTTAACATCTTAATGTGTAACAATCTAGTTAGGATTAATGCCGATTTAATTACTATACAAAAATTTTGTTCCTGTATGGTTCCATTCCTCCCATCTTTGTATATTGTACTCCCATCAACACAGATATATAATTATTGCTTAATGCAGTTGTCTTTTAAATCAGAGAAAAAAGTTGCAAAAAATGGATTTTTACTGTCTTTTATATTTACCTATAGTTATTTTTACCAGTGCTCTTTATTTCATAATGGGAATTGAAGTTACTGTCTAATGTCCTTTACATTTCAACTGAAGAACTCCCTTAAGTATTTGTTTATGGCAAGCTGGCTAATGACAAATTCTCTTTAAGTTTTTGCTTATCTGGGGATGTCTTAATTTCACCTTCATTTCTCAAGGATAGTTTTGCTGGATTTCAAAATCCTGGTTTCTAGTCTTTTTCCTTTAGCACTTTGAATATGTTGTCCTGCTGCCTACTGTTCTCCATGGTTTTTGATGAGAAATCGCTGAATCCCTTATACGTGATGAATTGCTTCTGTCTTGCTGTTAAGATTCTTTTACTTTTAAAAGTTTATTATGATATGTCTAGGTGTGTATCTTTTTGAGTTTATTCTACTTGGAATTTGTTGAGATTCTTGTAGATTGACATTTTTCACCAAATTTGAGAAGTTTTTGACTATTATTTCTTCAGTTTTTCTGTTCCTTTCTCCTTTTCTTCTGGAATTCCCATTTTATGTATGTTGGTATGTTAGATGGTGTCCTACAAGTCTCTGAGGCTGTTAATTCTTCATTCTTTTTTTGTTTATATTCCTCAGAATGGATATCTCAACTGACCTATCTTCAAGTTCACTGTATCTTTCTTCTGCCTTCTCATATCTGCTGATGAGCCCCTCTAGTGAATGTTTTCAGTTATTGTATTTTTCAACTCCAGAATTTCTATTTGCTTTTTATTATTTTTCTTTATTGATATTCTCCATTTGGTCAGACATTATTCTCATACTTTAGTTCTTCAAATATATTTTAAATAGCCGAAATAAAGTCTTTTTCTAGTAAGTCTCAGGTTTGAGTCATCTCAGGGACGTTTTCTATTAACTGCTTTTTTTCCCTACTGTATGACTCATGCTGTTTCTTTGCATATCTTGTAAAAAAATTTTTGAAAACTGGACATTTAAAATAATGTGGCAACTCTACTCTAGAAATCAGATTCTAACCCCTCCCCAGGGTGTATTGTTTTTGTTGCTGTTTGTTATTGTTTAGTGAGGTTTTTTTTTAACAAATTCTGTAGAGTCTGTATTCTTTGCCATGTGTGGCCATGAAGTCTCTGCTCAGTTAGCTTAGTGGTGGTCAGTTCATGATTGGTCAGAAATTTTCTTTGGTGCCTGGAAGCAACAGTCTCCCTGTCTGTGCTGAGGGGCTCTGTATACATGTTGGGACATGCCTTCACTTTACAGTTCTGCCTTAGCCTTCGCTTCCTGCTTGCACAGAGCCTCGAAGTTATCCAGATGTGGAGCTTAGGGCCTTTTCAGATCTTTCCTGAGCACGTGCACTGCCCTGGGCATGCACAGAGCTAGGATAGGGGGTGAGGGAGGTGGGTAGGACAAGTTAAAATGCCATAAAGTTTGTTCTTAACGAAGATTTAGCCATTTTTCTTGAATAAATGTTCCCTACATTGCTGCTTTTATGGAGAAGAGTCTTTTCAGAGGTCCTTATTCCATTTCACTGACATCACTCCTCTCTGTTTAAAGGTATTGTGTTCGCTATGCCAGCTGCTGATTTATACGTGGGCTTCACCTTCTCAAATGAATCTGCTTTTTGTTATTTTGTTTAGAATACTTTCATCAGTAGCATTATTTATATGTGTAAAGTTCTGGTTCTGAGTCCTTTCATCTATATTGTCTCGTGTCTAAAAGGCAGAGCTGACATCCTCATTTTTATATCAGCCATGGGGAGTCACCTGTAACTTTTCCTTTCCTTAAAAAAGGCAAATGTCTTTTCCTTGTAAGAGGTGATTTTAAAATACCTTTACTCTTGATGCAGGCAGTTGAAGATGACTTTGTGGAAATGCGCAAGAACGATCCCCAGAGCATCACTGCTGATGATCTCCACCAGCTGCTCGTCGTTGCTCGGTAGGTACTGTGTGTACATAGTTCAGTAGGCTGTGTATGATTTTCCTAAGTCGGAATTAACTGAGGCAGACTTCTAAAATTGGAAATGAACTTTTTCCTTTAAAACACCCTGTGAAAGGGCTTATTGTGGGGGATGGTGTTTGGCTGGTGATCACTTCAGTAGAACAGATGTGCTGCTTGTTCTCTAAGCATTAAAGGTGGAGCCGCCATCTAACTTGACTCCTTTATAGCTACCGAAGCTCTTGTCTGCTAATGTGGGCTGTGTAGATATTCCTAGGTCTGGACTTAAATTTGTTTCTGTATTTTCACACCAGGTTTCTGTCTCTCAGTGCTGGTCAGACAACGCTGTCACGAGAACGATGGCTAAGAGCAAAGCAGCTAGAGTCTTTAAGAAGAACCAGGCTTCAACAGCAGAAATGCGTGAATGGAAATGAACTTTAAAGATGATACCTATGAAAAGTAATGTGCAAATTATAGCCACATTACTGTAAAATTCAAATATCATTTATACCACATTGTTTTGTAGATAATTTGTATTAAAAACCAATGACTTCCTGAAATCAAGCCTGGTAACATCTTAAGTTTATATAATGTCCAGTAAGAGTTTTTACCTTGCTGATTTTATGGAGCTTTTGAAGTTTGTTTTATAATTAATTAGTAATGATGTACAAAAATGTATTTGATATTAAAGTTTAATATTGACAATGTTGCAGATGACACCATTTTCTTAGCTTCAGTTTAAGTTACAGGCGACTGTTAAAATGCTAATGTTAGCTTCATTTGAAGAAAATTGTTGTGATTTCAGAGTCAGAGGAATTGCTCACTTCAGATTTCTGTCTTTCCAGTTAACAGTGGTTCTGAGTGTTCAGTGGTCAAAGTGTGGGATATGGGGTGTACTTGCCATTGATTCACACTAGTGTGATTCACACGAGTATAGTTAAGGCCATGAGAAATTCTGTAGTATCACTTCCCAAATGTTTGACCATAGAAGCTTTTTTCTACATAACAGCTGTTTAACAGCAAGCAAAATAGTCTTTTATACTGCAGTGGTTCCCAGACTTTGGATTTCATGGACCAGTAATATTTCCAAAACTTTTTTGGACAAGGCTGCCAATTTGTTTTGCCGAGTAATGTGAAATAAATCACTGTGTATTATCACTTTTTTTCATAAAAGGACAATCTCAGAATAAGATAGTGCTTTAAATGGAATAAATGTAGCTTTTGGGGGGGAAAAAAACATTGTCCTTAAAACATTGTCCTTTTTTCCTCATTTTACCCGGTGCATTTGGGAACCACTCACTTAAGGGAGTGCTGTCAACTTAAAACAAAACAAAACAAAACAAAAAACCCTCTTTACAAAAAATGGTTTTTAATTATTTTACTAATGTCATTTAGTTGCTTTGGTGATTGTATTAATTTTGAATTTTGTACCTAAGTTTAGTTCCAGATGTATTAGATCAAGTGACATTATCTGCTAGTTCAGTAATAGCCTGAGACAACTGAAGGTAGGTTTGCCCCAGACCAATTAACAGTTTTAATATAAGTTTTCAAAAGAACAAAAATATCATCACCCGTCGCTAGAAAGCAAATTAGTAATACTCTAGAGTATAATTGTGGCAACAAGAATCTTTGGAAAGGTTAGAACATTACTTTTCCTACGGTATCAACTGTATATATAAACGTCTTTTAATCAGTAATTCCTTAGTTGAAAACATTAGAAATCAATTCAATGATTCCTTAAATTTTTCCCGGAAGGCCTAAACTGACACTGCTAACCAAGGAAACAGGGTCGGCCTTGAAAACCAAGGAACTTGTTACGCCTCATGGACCGAAATGAAGATTACTAATTGTTTAACAACATTGTTGACTTTTCCTAAACTCAAATCTATTTTTATAAACAAATGTAAATAATCTGTTTATATTTAGAATTCTAACTGGTTTTCATTTTTATAACTGGTAGACTAGACCTTAAACTTTTAGAAATAAAATGATGGCTCAACTGGATTTGTGAGAAAATTCATTTTCTATAACTGGCCTAGAGTAGATTAGTTACCAATGTGTTTATTGTGCCAATGTGAACTGTAATTTACCAAAGAGAAGTACATAATTTGCTTGGTGTTGCAGAAAAGTTCCCTTGGAAGGAGAACTGGTTCCTCTTTCAAATAAATAAAACTTCCCAAATTACAAGTACCTGGGGCTGTTTTTCGTGAATTATAATACTCAGCATCCCATGTGATCTGTATGCTATTTGTCCTCTTGATGGAAAACCATTACCAGATGCTGTGGAAAGTACAGGGATGTGTCCTCCTTCTCAAGTCAGGAGATCGGAATTCTTGGTGCTTCGGAAGCCCTTTCTCCCTTGGCTATACCTGCGGACGTTCAAATTTGTTGATCTGATTTAAGGAAGACACTCTGTTTGAATTCCCAGGAAACTAAACAGACATCCTTATTACTTTGATTGGAACTAAGCATTGCAATGCCTTCAGATAATTTTAGTTTTTAAAAAACCTCTTTGGAACTAATTTCTGTGGAGCTTTAAATGCATTATTTTACCACATGACCTTGGCTTATGTTTTCTCTTACATTGTGGAACACTTAAATACACTCCAGACCCAGAGGAACAGGTGAGAGCAGAATAAAACATGCAGTTTCAAATGCTTAAGTTTTCAAATCTGATAGTTTGTGATCCATTTCATCATTTATAAAGTCATAAAAACACTTCAAACAGTAAAAAACATGGAACGGTTGGGATTAAGTGTTGTTATAGTAAATTTATCCTGTTTATAAATTCTTTAATCTGAGTTAAAACCAAACCCTTATCTTTAAAATGTTATTCAAGTAATTCTCATACATATTGTCACTTTAAATTACAACGGTACTTTATTTTAAATAGTCACAAGATTTGACACTTAAAAAAAAAAAGGATACCACTAATAAATAACAAAAGTGGAAATGCTTAGCAAAGTTACAACAGACATGTTTAGCTGAGAATCACTTCAAACAGAGTAAGGCTCTGAAGATAACCAGAGAAACCAATACTTATTTGGAGTACGATGTGCAACTTTCCTACTACTGTATGGGTTCACAGGAGAGGCACTGTTCTATGTGGTTCGGATTCTGGTCATAAAACCAGTTTGAGCACAGCTGTGCTTCAGACTAAATCTTCTGTAGTTCTAATAGTCTACACAAGATATTGAGGAGTGGCCCCTGGAAAAAAATTAACATTTGAAGATTTCTTCCTATAATCATCAGTAGCCAATATAGTCTTCCTGAAAACAACAGGACTAAATTTAATAGGATGCTGGTATAGACATCTGATGTACTCAGGTTTACTTTACGACTGACAAGTCTTAATGCTGCCATACTGTGGGGTGTACAGGTTGCAAAATACTTTAAATTTGCTCAAATGAGCATGTTTCTTGACAGTACTGTCCATAACCCTCAATTAACTCTTCACAGGGAATGGTTAAGCCATCAGAACTAAACCAGTATGTTTTGTATTCAAATGCTTTTCCATACTAATAACATTTTAGTCACTAAAAATGAAATGTATTACCTACCTTGTAGAGGTACTATACATAAGAACAATCTGACAAACAGAACAAATTATGAAAAACACTAATCCTCTAAATGTGTCAGTGCCCATTCTTTGTGTCCACTTCATACATTCCACCCACCCACCCCCATCCAAAAAGGTTCAAGTCATGTCCCAAAGTGACCTATTCCTGAATTCCTTTCAAAGGGACAGATTACTTTGTAGTGTGTAAGCTACTCAGATCTACATACTCTCAGACAATGGACTTGTCATCTTGGCTGTCCAATTTGGAAATCTGCTCAGGTTCAGACTCCCTTTAAAACTTTTCCCAATAAACAGAATTTGTGATCCCTAGATTCAAAGACAGTACAAGTAACAATAGGCTAATACATGAAACCGCCTCCTTTTGGATTAAGCGCCATAGGATTCTTTACAGCTAAAAACTAAATCTGAATTATTCGTGTCTGGCATTGTGTAAACATGTTTTTAAGTTCATTTTGCTGAACTTCATTAACCACTTCAGGTTCTGCAGGACTCTTCTGAACTTTTGCCACTGCCAAGTTTATCCCATGGGTTAACCCAGCTTGGGTAATATTAGCAACCTGGACCATGGAACTCTTGATCTTTGCAAAGGGGGAAACTGCTCTACTGCTACTGCCTTCTGAAGGAGAAGGAGTTACATTAAGCCCTGACTCAAAATCAAGCATGGTGGATCCAGAGTCCGGGGTCTTTTGAGATAAAACTGAATGCCCTGATTCAACTGACAAAAACTGCGGGCCTTTTGCAGAAAAAGACACCTCTAACTGAGATGGTCGAGAAGGTGTCTGCTCCATTGCTTTTGGTTGGGTTTCTTCATTAGAAACTTGACTGGTCACTTGATTTCCTTCCTCAGTACCCTGCTGAGAAAGAGACCTGGTTTCCGATGGCTGGGTCATTTTATTTTGTGCATCTCGTACAAATGTGTGGCAATAAATATCCACAGGCTTGGCAAAGCCAGTCAATATTTGTATGTGGTCGGCAGAAGGACTTTTCTTCAAAGGAGACTCATGGCCTTTTCCAAGACCACTTCCATGAGTGGCAGTAACCTCTGAAGGAACATGAATACTAGTATCAGTGCTGCTTATAGACTGGGATCGACTGCCTAACCGAGGTGCTGAAGCAATAATACCACAACTAGGAAGAACATAGTCTACTGGCCCTACGTTCTCTAAAGAATTAGCCAGCTGCCTGTCTTCATCAGACTTGGAATTTGTTAGGAGTTCATCAGAGTGGTATGAGTCATTATCGGAAGACATGTCCCCATCAGACTCTGCCTGGTCTTTACTATCCATCACGCCTGTATTTTCCATGGTTTCAAGACTACTATCTGATTTCCAAGGATTTATTTTTAAGTTTGGTTTTAGAAAGTTAACTTTCATTTCAGGTTTTGTAAAGTTTCCTAGCTTTCGTAGATTGCCAATATTTACGTTGGATTTTGTCTGTTTTACTTTTTGATTTAGAGATGAAAATTTGCTCATTAAAAAATTCCTTCCTTGGGCCAAAGAGCCTTGGTTTTGAGATCTGATACCAATGATGTCTTCATGAGGTTTACTGCTCTTCCTGTAAATTAGAAGTGAAAAAGTTAATTCCCCACAGGATCCAATTTATCAGTGGCAATTACTAACGTTAAGTGAAAACTTTGCTTTGTAAAATTGGTTCTGATTTCTTGAAAATAGTGCATTGCTAATTGATAAACTTTGGTAACTCAGCTAAATCTAGACTAGTGCTGTCCAGTGGATATATGTGAACTACATATGTAATTTTAAAATTTCTAGTAGCTACATTAAAAACAGGTGGGATTAACTGTAGTAACATTTGATTTAACCCCATATACCCAAAATATTATCATTTCAACACTAATGAATACTTAAAAATGATTACTGAGATACTTTACTACATTTGTCTTTTCTTTTTCTTAAGTCTTTTATTACAGCACACCTGAGTTTAGACTAGCCCCATGTGGCTAGTGGCGACTGCTTCAAGTGGCACAGGTCTAGCACCTCCAGAATATGTAAACCACCGGCACAAATGCACTGCTGACCAGATGGAAATCTGCAGCATCTTAACTAAAGCTTCCCAGACACATTCCAAGTGTGTGTGTTTGGGAGGGTGGGGGGAGATTCCATGTCCTAATACTATTTCCTGTGAGTTAACTGAATTTATGTGAAAAGATGTGAGACATTTAACATAACTAATCTTAGTGTCTTATCCTTTGGCATCCCTCTCATCACATCTATAATTGAGAAAAAAAATCTCAGGGCCATTCACCACAAATGTCTCAGTAATAAGTAGTTCTAGAATGAATGAACTTTGTATTAATGTTTCTTCTGGAAAAGCCTGTCCACTACAAGTTGAAGTGCAAAAGAGAACAGTTTAATGTTTAAGCTGTCTGATGAGCAACGAGCTGAATATTTTAATGCTGAAAGTTGTATGGAGACATGCCTGACAGCCACGGGGTTTTGGGCAAGCTTTCTTCCTCCATGGTTTTCTCTGGTAGAGCCCAGCAGATGAAAAGAGGCAGCCTAGCTTTTCAAAGCTCCCCAACACATTACCATAATGTGACCTTCCCCCTTTACAAATATTTTTAAAGAAGAGAAGTAAGACTTTGGATAATAATATCTTTATTCTTGGGAGAAAACCGTAGTATACTCACCTTTCAAGTTTTTTCTCAATTATGGGTACATTCAATCCCATGGCTTGCTTGGTGATCTGTAGCATCTCTGCAATGCACTGAAGGGTATCTGAAACCCAAATATAACTGATTGCCACTTTCTCCAAAACATACTCCAAGAAATTAATGAGAATCAAATCAACTGGAATTAAAACTTTGTTCTAGTTCTATGTTTTGATCAAAGATTCTGTAGAAGAATCCTAATCAAAAGGGAGAAGATGCAGAACAGAATTTCAAATTCTCATGGAATCCAGGCTTTCTGGAGTCATGGAGGTTGGATGAGCCCCCGGAACTTTTGCCCTGAGATAATCCTTAAACAAAAAATATCCCCTGAAGTCGTCTTAAAATCAAACGATAGGTTAACTAGTAAAGAATGTCTGCCTTGAGCACTGTGCTCTTTTAAGAACTATCTATATGGGATCAAATCAACAACAGCAACTCGAAAGTTCAGATAGAAATCTTAGGGGGCAGTGAGTTTATGTTAATAAGGGGGGAACAGTGTGGAAAAGAAGGGTGAGAATGGTTGCACAACTTAAAGAATGTAACTGACGCCACTGAATTGTACATGTAGAAATCACTGAATTGGTGTTCTGCTGTGTATATTCAATAACAAAAAATAAAATAGGAACACAACAACTACTTTGTTCTAGTTCTTGTTTGTTAAAGTATTGTGCTGTGTGCCAAGGCAAGAGCAGTGCATCAGACAGGTAAGATCCCCGACAACTACCACTGAGAAAGAATATGTGGTGGGAAAAGCCCTGGCACCCAGATGACTCCTTACAGAGTCAAACACACTGAGAATTTCCATTACAGATTCCTTTGCCCCAAACTACATTATCAGTTCAAATAATCCCATGTTGCTGGGAACAAAGTTGCTGTTTTAAAGTCTCAAACCACAAAAACTATCTCCCTGAATCAGTTCTTCAGGTGGTAATAGCA